GTACCCTAAAAGATCAGTTTAACTGAAAGCGATGAATAGCAAAATCACGAACTACTTGAATCAATTTCAAGGAACCATCAACTGTGTGATCACGCCTCACCTCATGGAAATTTTTTACTTCTACACTTTTAACTGCCAGTGTATGTAAAGATGCATCCGTGTGAGAGTAGTGAAAACTTATAAGATAACGTTCGGTCCCTGTTGATATTCAGCTTATTTCTGACTTTCGGTTGTGTGGTTGAGAAAATTACCTTTCCTTCCATACAGACTCCATGCTTTGAACCGTACATCTTTTGCATATCTTGTCCAGGCAAAGGTCACTAAAAACATTTGCATACGGCATTAGGATGGATTACAGGTTAAACCATTAATTTCCAGAAGTGATCAGCATGTAACCTCTCCCTGTAATATCCATACATTTTCCAACAAACAGGTAGTAAGAATGGTTGAAATTATCTGGTGGAAGTTGCCAAAGTGTTCTTATTTAGAGGAAAATATGCAAGGATTAACTATCAGATCATGGGAGTTAGGGGTACCTCATAATTTCCCAAGATTTTCTACATTTGCTACGGAATGGATTTCCGAATCTCAGTAGATCATAATTTAGTAGTAACTGATCCATCATAATGACATAAGTTTAGTTAACATGGCTATAGAGATCAGTGGCAATTAGAAAGCTTATACATGTAGTAATCTTTCCCATTAACAGCTGACAAAGAGAAGCATTATTTGAAGAACTCTCTCTCATTTGGATCTTGGAATACTTCAAAAGGAAAACATATACTATCATTTCTTTTTATATGTCTCTTGTTTGTCCATGCATTAGCCTTCCTCATCCCCAAAAACTCAATACAAATTCTCCTTACAGCCTGCCCTTACATTTCCCATAACGTTGCTTTGGAGGATTTGGTGTTTAATCAAATTAGAATCCCCTTGTTGATGTTCTTCCTTATTCTCATTACCTACCTGTTCGATAGCCTATTGACATTTTAAGGAGAAATTAATTCCTGGTCACAGGGCTCGACAGAAATGGTAGCCAACTGGCCACAGACTATTAGAAATTCAGTTTTGCCTTGTGGTTTTTAGATTTCCACTAGCCAGTTTGGCTAGTAAACAAACTGAAATTGTTGTAACATCTGAGTTGTCACCAGCCACTAGGCAAGTACGTTGAAAAGTTAGTGTCAAGTCCTGGGCCACCAATGGGAGTGAAGAGTTTAATGCTATACAAATTGGATATTCTCTGTGAAATATAGCTTTTTTAGTGCAATATCCATTAATTTTTTTATATCCTTCTTTCTTAGGTTTATTTGAAAAGCCATTATGGATGGTGCAGGGGATGCTGCATCCACCCCTCCCCCGCCTGACCCAGCCCCAAACCCTCCTCCCCCAGCAGAGACTCCACAGCCAGTTGAGAGAGCAGTCACCCCAGAACCTCCTCGTGAGACAGAACAGGCTCAATCAAAGGTTCAGCAGCCATCTAAATTGAAGGATGAGAAGCCAGAGGACTCCAAAGCACCACTGGGTGGAGGTCAAGAGAGGTAAGGAGTGATAAAAAGTTCAAAGAAATAGTTAAGGATCAGGTTGATATTACAGAGGAGCTCTTTTAGCTTAAACCTCTCAGTGAGAGAGAAAATTGTTATGGTTAAGACACACTGTACCCTGCAGAGAGGTGCTTGTTATTAGCTTTGGCATGTTTGTTTCTTCATTTGTCTAAGAGGAGGAGGTCCAGCTGAGCTACATGAGCCAGCAAGAGGTCTATCTGCAAGGGGTCAAGTATTGAGCATTTTTATTCCCAGACCCGAGTCCAGCAAACCTATCCCCAACTCATCTTGAATTTTGCTGCAGGTGGAGAAATGCCTGCATGTCTTGCACTGCTAATATTATGGGTAGACTGATTGGGTTTGAAGATCTTAAGTGAAGTAGCCAATTTCACCCTTAAGTCTTATTTTCAAGGTGCACTTTGATAAGAATCGACTATAATACTCATTAACATTTAATGACTTTGTCTTGAAATTATTTATCCAAAAAAAGGGTGTCTGAAAAACCATCTGGCACTGAGGATTTACTAGCAAAAAGTGAAGCAAGGAAGAAACTACCTGATAAAAATCTTGATTTTCAGGTTCGTAAATTATTAGTTCAATGTTTGGTCAATAGAACATGTTTACATGCATGGTGCTAATTGAAGCGGTTCATATCAACTAGGAAACAAATTTGTTAGTCCAGGAAAGGTACCAAAGAAAGTGAAAGAGCTTTATATCATTACTCAATGCAAATGATCCAACGGTTGGAAACTTTAAACATTTTTTATAAAGCAACAAGAAACCTGGCTCAGACAGTTGCTTTAGTTTTCCTTTCCTTTGTTTTGTGATTCAGTTAATTACTCTAAATAGCTTGTGGCACCCTCTCAAACATTCAGATGCAAGATTTAAAGCAATCAGAACTTGGTCACCAGTGCATGTCCTTGCACTTCTGGCAGAAATCTACTTGTTACATTGAGTTCAAAAGTGGGTTGGGGCAATGGTTTAGTGCTCTGTACTGCAGGTGGAGAGTTCCTCAGGTTTGAGACCAATGGCCTGGTCAATGTGTTATGTTCTTGTGCAAAACATTTGACTCTTTTTGCCCTGAAATATGAATGGGTTTTGGCAAATTGTCAAGGAAACCAGATGAAAAGCTGAAGGGTAACCTTAGGACGGACTGACTTCCCTTCCAGGGTGTGGGGGTAAAAAAGTTAATTTCATGTTATGAAAATCAGTATAAGCTCTCACTGGATCATGGGCCATTTGGCTAGAGTACAGATCACTTAACCTTCCCTGTCAATGGTTGTTGTGCTTATTTTGGTTTTGTTTTAACAATACTCAATAAAAAAGGGTTCTGTTGTTTGGAACCTCACATATTGACTATCATTATGCATTGCAGTTTTAAATCAAAAAGGCCTTGTCTGCGCTTTATGTCATTTAAATGCTTATTTTTCACTTTTTCAGGTGAGGGTGAGGATTATCGAGGGTCGTCAGCTGGCAGGAGCTAATATCAGCCCTGTGGTCCGTGTGACAATGGACAATCAGTCACGGCAAACTAAAGTCATCAAATCAACCAACAAGCCATTTTATGATGAGGTTTGAAAAACAGGAATGGAATTGCAAGAAACATGTATTAAATTTCCTTAATTGTTTTACACTTTAACATCATGCAGTGTAAATATTCAACATAGTAGCTGATATCTACACATTTCGTATAATACTAACAAGGTGAAGATTGTTAAGAGCTCCTTTAGTTGGCAATAATTTCCTTTATCGATTCCCTTGACCTTAACGTTCGATTCAGCAGTGTGATGCTGTGAGGGAAAAAAATTTAGCTGCTTCACCCTGGAAGGGGTTACAAAAAAAGTATAAACTTTTTTTCTGCTTAATCAGAGGGCCTGATTTCTAGACAAATTCTGCTTTAATTTATAAGTATACCTTAATGACATATTGAACTAAACTTACTATATAGTAGTTACTATGTTGTTTAATCTTAACAGGTGTTTTTCTTCAATTTCAATGTTACACCACACAAACTGTTTGATGCTCAAGCTCTGTTTGAGGTACAGTGTATGATGTGAAAGAATTTATGACAGCCGATGGATAAGATATGTGTATTGGTGATAGAATTATAGTTACCTAACCCCCACCGCCACTCAAAAATGCTTTTCAGGGCCAATCTGGAAAAGGATAAAGGAACAGATGTTTCAAATATGCTTATTAGAAAAATTAAAATTTAAAATCTGTGAAAAAGGTTAAAAACTGAAAAAAAAAATTGTTTACTTTGAGAGTGTTAAGTCTGTACTCAAGCTAAGTGGCCCACCCAGGTAGAGGTTATCCTGGTTTCCTTGGTCTGAAGTGACATAAGAATATCACTGCATGCTCTCCTGTAGATGGGGTTTAACCTACCAGCCTTTCTTCAGGTTTTTTTCTGACAGTACCCATAGGTGGAGAAAGGCACTGTGAGTGTAAAGAGCCCTGAGCCATACTGTAATAAATCAATAATCTTACTTAGCTCTGAAGTGTGCTGAACATTTGGTCTTTTAGGTATTTAATTCCAAGAAATTAAGAGCAAATGCAATGGTTGGAAGTTTTCAGGTGAGATTTGCTAAATAATGCACCAATCAATTTAAGTTTCAGAATACCTCCCCTCATTTGCGGCAACTTCCCCGGGCATTTGAAGATCAGATTTTTCAAATTCCCATTACACAAGAAACAATTGTGCTGTGCTTGATGGTCAAATTTTTTGGTAAAAGGCAAATAAGTGACCATGACTCATTTAATTATATACACATTGACTTAGCTTTAAAACACATCAAATGTGAGGTAGTGTGTTACCATATTGATGAACAGCCAATTTTTGTTTTTGGAATGATCCTTTTTTCATAGCTAGTGTATCATGGTCTTGAGGATGTAATCAGCTGTTTGTGATTTTTTTTATGCTCCAAATTATTGATGATAAAGCTCTTTTAAGAACTTAAAAGTTCTTTAAAGGGAATGTTGATGCAGTGTACCTGTTTTTGTGTTTCATGTTAGTCTTAGATCTGGCTACTTTGTTTCTCTTGCAGTGTGATGTGGGATTCTTCTATGATGAACCTTGTAAGATGATGAAAATTAACATTACTATGAAAAATTTATCTGCATTTTAGTTGTGTGCCTAAGATTTTCTTAATGTGGGGTACTTGTAACTTTACTGGAAAGATCTTCCAAAAATTTTCAAAGTCAATTAAATGCCATGTAATAGTATCCATTTCTAAAAAACCTCAAATATGTGATAGTGTAGTTTGATCATACTTACATACACATACATAAATACATAGGTTAATTGACCACTCCCCATAGGGGCTTTTCAGGGCCAATGCCGAGCAACACCCACCCATCCCACCCAGGGGAGGACATCCACCACACAGTAATCTAGTGCATGGGAAATTAACGTCTCCTACCCCTAACCCTGCAGGAGACGGGGCCTACGGTTTATTCGTC